AGGGTCGCTATGAGTCGCAAGCGACTCGACGGCACATAACAACAAACAACAACAGATTCAGTGTCCACAGTTTTTGTTATGTTCACATGATTGATTGAGCTCAGTTTTAGTACTTCTTCCCTGGAAGTTAGAGTGATATAATATGCCATGAAAGATGTACATTTTTTTCTCACTCTATTTAGGACATCCTACTAAAATCCCTGTGAGTGGTCAGCAGTGGTAGGTAGCCAAGCATCATCTAGTTCTTCTAGGCACAGGGTCATAAATGCTATAGTTTGCAGGGCCCATCTTTTGGACTGTTTCCATGTGTCTTCCATAAAAGCAGAGATTTTTGTCTGACTTTTTCAATGTTCTATACCTTAATCCTAAAAGAGTGTCTTGAAATAGTATGTTCTCGAGAAATATTCATTGCTGTTGTTATGTGCCGTCGAGTAGCTTACAACTCAGAGAGACCCTGTACAATAGCTCTGCTACCTCCTCTCTCCTGTGCCAACTTTATTGTCTCTTACACACCTACCCCAGTCACTGAATCAATCCATCTCATCAATGGTCTTCCTCTCCTATGCTGTCCCTCTACTTTTCCAAGCACGATGTCCCTCTCCATGAACTGGTCCCTCCTTGCAACATGCCCAAAGTACGTCAGATGAAGCCTCAGAATTCTTGCCTCCAAGGAGCAGCCTAGTTTCACCCACTCCAGGACAAACCTGTTTGTTCTCCTGGCAGTCCATGGTATATTCAATACTTTTCTCCAGCACCAAAGCTCAAAGGCATCAATCCTCTTTCATCTTCCCTAGTTATTGTCCACCTCTCTGACATATAGCAAGCATTTAAAAAGACTATGGCCTGGACCAGGCACACCTTAGTCTCCAGAATGACATCATTACTCTTCAGTACCCTGGAGAGGTCACTGACAGCAGACTTTCCCAATGCAATTCATCTTTTGATTTCCTCGATGCTGGTAGCAAGAGTGTTGACTGCGGAGTTAAGCAAACGAAAACTGTTAGTAATCTCAGTCTCTTTATCATCTATCATAGTGCTGCCTATCGACTAGTTGTGAGACTTTTTTCTTGAATTTCTGCTTCAATCCATATTGAAGGCCTGCAGTCCTTGACCTTCTGCAGCAAGCTCTTCAGGTCTTCCTCAGTTTCAGCAAGCAGAGTTGTTTCATTTGTATATGGCGGTTTGTTGATGAGTCTTCCTCCAATCCTGATGCCACATTCTACTTCATACAGCCCAGCTTCTTGGATAATCGGTTCTTCATATAAATTGAAAAGATATAGATATAGGACATTTTTCTGGAGTACATCATTCCTGATTATGAACCATGTAATATTTCCTTGCTCTGTTTTGGCCACTGCCTCCTGGTCCAAATATAGATTTCATATAAGCATAATCAAGTGTTCTGGGGTGCCTATTCTTTTCAGAGTCAGCCACAGTTTGTTGCCCCAGGAATTGACGGCATACAAGCTGAAAAATTTCAACAAACAGATTCTGCCCTGGATGCGCTCAGTAAGTTGTGACAAGAAATCTGGAGAACAACTACCTGCCAACTGACCGGAAGAGATCAGTATTTATTCCCATTCCAAAGAAAAGAGGGCCAACAGAGTGTGGAAATTATCGAGCAAGATCATTAAATATCACATGCAAGCAAGATTCTGCTGAAAATTATCCAAAAATGACTGGAACAGCACATCAACAGAGAACTGCCAGAAGTGCAGGCTGGGTTTAGAAGAGTTCTTGGTAGTAGGAATATTGTAGCTAATGTTAGATGGATCTTGGCTGAAAGTAGAGAGTAGCAGAAGAATGTCTATCTGTGCTTAATTGACTATGCAAGGACTTTTAACTGTGTGGATCATAACAAACTGTAGCTGACTCTGAGAAATATTGTTCATGAAAGTTTTTTAGAAAAAGATTTAAGTAAAGAAACAAGGAACGGAATGGTAAAACAGAAAAGAAGAGAGAAAAAAATAAGGAACAGAAAGAAAAGATAAAAGAGATAAGAGAACTCACATGAGAATGGTAGGTAGAAATTGAAAAATCCTTAAGGTACTGGAAGGACTAACAACATATGTGCTCTTCAGAAGAACATGATGTTCAGGACAGATCTGTTTGAGAATCTGCCTCTAGAAGTATGTACCTGACATCATATACGAATCCTTAACGTGTATAATCTTTCTAAAGCCCTTCCCAAAAGTTCTATAGAATATTCCTATCACTTTCATAGTGAGATAATAAATAATAGGTTCTGATGGTGTAGTTTATTTATAACATCAAAATGTTTTGAAAGGTCAGGACCTCAAAATGAGATCTGCCAATTGAAAGGCCAGAACCTCAAATTGACCTCTGCCACTTAAAATGTCAGGACCTCAAATTTGTCAGCTTCCCAACCCCCCAAGAGAAGGATTATCTCCTCCTATACATATTTCAGTTGCTCACTCATCACCCTCAAGTTGAACACAACTCATAGTGACACTCCAACGGGTTTCCAAGGTTATAAATTTTAATGGAAGGATCACCCAACTTTTCCCATTGGATTCACTGGTGTATTCAAACCACCGGTAACATAGGAAATTTTTTGGTTAGCAACACGACACTGTACTCACTATGCCACCAGAACACTAAAGAGTTACAGCTTAAGAAAATCTCTGGGTTTCCGGAAGCTGCTCGAGGTTGTGGATTCCTTGCTAGTGAACTTGCGTCGGCTTCAGACGAAGCTGTAGTTGGTGTTCGAGAGCAACTGTCGGATTTGAACAGCATTGTTTTGAGCGAAGCAGCTAGTGGATCCCAGACACTGGAGAATTAAATCCGGATTAAACAGATTTCTCTGCAGATCTGGTCCTGGTAAACTCTGCCACTCCACACTTCAAAAAAAACAGATGAAGAAACTGAGGCTTAAGGAACTCGAGAGTCGCCTGCAACAGGTAGATGAGTTCGAAAAGCCCAAACTACTTTTAGAACAGTATCCGACCAGGCCACACATTGCAGCATGTATGCTCTATACAATCCATAACACATACGATGACATTGAAAATAAAGTGGTTGCAGATCTAGGATGTGGTTGTGGAGTGCTTAGCATCGGAGCTGCAATGTTAGGAGCAGGGTTGTGTATTGGATTTGACATAGATGAAGATGCATTGGAAATATTTAACAGGAATGTAGAAGAGTTTGAGTTAACAAATGTTGACAAGGTTCAATGTGATGTTTGTTCATTATCTAACAAAATGACCAAGTCATTTGATACAGTAATTATGAACCCTCCCTTTGGGACCAAGAATAATAAAGGAACAGATATGGTTTTTCTGAAGACCGCTTTGGAAATGGCAAGAACAGCTGTTTATTCTTTACACAAATCATCAACTAGAGAACACATTCAAAAGAAAGCTGCAGAATGGAAAATCAAGATAGATATTATTGCAGAACTGAGATATGACCTACCAGCATCATATAAATTTCATAAAAAGAAATCAGTGGACATTGAAGGGGACCTAATTTGGTTTTCTTTTTTTAAAAAAAAAATAAAGACAAAAGTAGATTAAAAAAAATCTCTGGAGGTGGTTATGAATCTGAACAGATATAAAGGTACTGAGTTTTGTCTTGGTTTGGTAACATAATAAAATGAAACACAGAAAGGTTAAATAACTTCTCCAAGATCACTCAGGTATGAAATGACTGAGCACGAATTAAAATGAAGCTTCTCTAACTTCTAATCATTACCTACAGCATAGATTTATCTAACTTCTCTACCTTCTAATTAGTACTGTACAGGATAGGTATATCTCTCTCTACAGTCTTTAATCATCCAGCTTCTGATGACCGGATGCTTCAGTGTAGTTCTTCCACTTTGTTTATCTTCCTCCCTAAGATAACATATTTGCACAAATGAGAATAGACTTCTCTGTAAAAAGTTTCCAGTACAAGAATGGTCATCCCATTTTAATAAGAGCAAGACAGTAAAACATATCTTCATTTTTTAATCCATCTGACATACTTTAGACATGTTACAAGGCGGGATCAGTCCTTGGAGAGGGATGTCATGCTTGGGAGTTTGGAGGGACAGCACAGGAAAGGAAGATCCTCAATGAGATGGATTGATTCCGTCATTGGGACAATGGTGTTGGTTTGTCAGAGACAGTAATATTGGCAAGAGATAGAGAAGGGTTTAGGGTTATTGTACATAGGGTCGCTATGAGTGGCAAATGACTCAACAGCACAATACAGCAGCAACAACAAGGGTCATTATGCTTTATTCTTGACTCAATGACACCTAACAAAACAACATATATATGAATATTAAAAAAGATAAAGAAATACACAAAGAGGTAAAGGCAGAGAGGAAATATTATATAGAAATTCTTTGTATGTTATTAGCAGTTATTTTAAGCACAATACGTGATGCATCATAGATGGTCAATGTCAGTTGAGTGTTTAGAGTTGAATGGTTTTAAAGTTGCCTTTATCATTTTCTGGGGTTTTTCCCCCCTGTGTATTCTACTAATAACATGATTTCTTGACACTCGGAAAAATTTAATGATTATAAAACAAGTCTGTATATATAGAAAAATGCCATAATATTCATTTCTCTTTGCTTCTGCCCTGTGCAAACATGAGTGCTTTTAGAAATGAGCCTCTGCTGATACTGAAATGATTCCATCTCCGGGGGCACTGGCATTAGCAATCAGGAGAAAATAAAAGGAAACCACTAAGTGCCAGTGTGTGATCTTCCCTCTCATCTCTGTAAGCTGCATTGCCTTTGATGTAAGTGGCAGCTGTGCACTTGGATCAGCCTGAAGAAGCACAGGGCAAGTGGGGCCTTGTGCTCTTTGTTCTTCTCTTGTTCCTGTGGTGCCAGAGCTGTCCCATTCACAGGGGATGTCACAACCTTGGGGGATGTGGGGAATGCTGCAATACTGGGATCACGCAAACATTTAAGATATGCAAATAACTTAAAAGTTGAGATCATAATCAAATTCGTCTTCCAGGGAAATTCATCCCCGATATTGCTCATAAAACTTTTTCACTTTTATTAGTATATATTTCCTACTAGATTACACTATATACACATGAATGAGTGGGGAATAGTCTCCATATAATCTCTCCTTCAGAAAAAAGGAGAGTAGTGCTCTTATTCTCGTTAGCTGTTATGGTATCAGTGGTGCCAAATTTGGGATGATCCCAGGCATAATAAAAGGAAATGTTTCCCTTGTACTGGCTGCCTCATCCCCACGATTGATTATTGACTGGACTCGTGTCCACAGAGGTTTCATTGGCAAAATTTTGGTAACAGATCAAAAGACCTTTCTTACAAAAGGAAAATGAGATCAGTACATCTCATATTAAAATTACATACTAATTTTATCAAAGCCAACCTGACTAGAGATTTCAGCTACTCATTGCCACAGAAGAGTGGCATACAGTTCAGTTAAACACACTGATCTGAAGCAAACTTCCTCTAGGTTACACCACTAAATCCAGGGAAGTTTACCAGTGTTGGATTTTCCAAGATGGAAGTAAAAAACTTACCAGTGAAGTTGAAAGACTATAGTATATACTTCAGTATATACTTCAGGATTATAATTTAATACAAAGAAAACAAAAGTTCTCACAACTAGATAAATAAAAAACATCATGATAAATGCAAGAAATATTGAAGTTGCCAAGGATTTCATTTTACTTGAATCCACAGTCAATACATCTGCAAGCTATAAAAAAAAAAGAAAAGAAATCAAATAACATACTGCTTTGGATAAATCTGCTCCCAAAGACCTCTTTCAAGTGCTATAGAAAAAGTATGTAACTTTAAAAACTAAGGTGTGCCTGAACCACATAAAAATTGGGAAATGAAAAAGGAACACAAAGAACTGATGTCCTTGAATTGTTGTACTGATTAAAAATATTTAATATACTATACCATGAAAAGCAATGACGTCAATCTAGAGACAAAGATATGCCTAATCCAGGCCATGGTCTTCGCAATTTCTTATTATGATCCAGAGAGCTGGACAATGACGAAAGATGACAGAAAAAGAATAGATGCCTTCGAATTGTGGTGCTCGAGAGCCTTGAACATACCATGGACTTCCAAGAATTAAGTAAGTCTGTCTTGGAGAAGGTGAAACCAAGTCTCTCATTGGTGGCTAGGATTTTGAAACTCCAGCTCACATACTTCAAGCACGTGGCCAGGAGAGACCGGTTCTTGGAGAATGACATGCACAGAAGGGTAGCAGGGCAGTGCAGGAGAGAAAGACCTCGGATGAAATGGATTGATACAGTATCTGGGAAAATGGGGGTTGGTGTGTTGATATCAGTGAGACTGGCTCAGAACAGAAAAGGGTTCAAAGCTGCTGTATATTGGGTCACAAGTGACTCAACAGCACACAGCAACGACAATAACATTGACTGTCAGAAGAATGAACAAATCTATCTTGGAAGCAACATAGCCAGGATGCTCCTTAAAGGCAAGGATAGTGATATATCTTCTCACATATTTTGGGAATAATATTAGGGTGGCCAGTTCCTGGAGAAGGACATCAATGTTGGAAAACCAGAGGTTCAGTGAAAAATAGAAATACTCTCAATGAGATGGAAACGTCTACAACAAAGGACTTAGCAGAACAGAGACTGTGAAGATTGCACAGGACAAGGCAAGATTTTGTACATAGGGTGGCTATGAGTTGGAGTCAACATAACTGCATCTAACAACAATAAGGTAAGCACAAGATCATTTGCATTTACTAATATGTAGTGAACAATTACACATTTTTATACCACATCAAAAATTCTTTATCTAAATAGGCTGACATTTATCTTTTTCCCAAATCCACATCACCTTCCTAAGAATCAAAGCCACTGTTGAATTTTATAATTCTTAATACGCAAGAGAAGGACTGTTGTTATTGTTGTTATGTTTTATTGAGTCGCTTGTGACTCATAGTGACCCTATGTATGAGAGCCCTAAACGCCGTTCTATCCTGTGCCAACCTCGCCATCTCAAACGCACTCATTCCCACCACTTCAGTCACAGAATCAATCCATCTCATCGAGGGTCTTCCTCTCCTGCACCATTCCTCCACTCTGCCAAACATGATGTCCATCTCCAAGGACCAGTCCCACCTTGCAAAATATGTTAGACGAAGCTTTAGAATCCTTGACTCCAAGGAGCATTCCAGCTTCACCTTCTCCAGGACAAACCTGTTTGTTCTCCTAGCAGTCCATGGTATATTTACTCTTCTCCAGCACCACAGCTCAAAGGCATCAATTCTCTTTCTATCATCCCTATTCACTGTCCAACTCTCTGATGCATAGCACCTAATTGCAAAGACTATAGACCGAATCAGACACCTTAGTCTCCAGCCTGACGTTGTTGCTCTTCAGTACTCTTGAGAGGTCCCTCACAACTGACTTTCCCAATGCAATAGGTTTATTTTTACTTATTACTCTGTAGTGAATAGTTTCACATGTTTCTGTGAAACTTTTCACTACAGATTAGTAAATAAGCACAGTAAAGTCATTGCTTCCCTTTTTTTTTCTGGATAATCTTCTCCACCCCACAAGAAAGATGGGAAATAAGAATTGTACCCAATCTAAATCAAGTACATAGCTCAGGAGGTAGATTTTGCCAAGGATACAGTATCCTTATGTAAGATGTTAACATTAGAGGGAGTTGGGTGTATGGGAAATTTTAGTACTAACGTTCCCACTTGTTCTGTAAAATTAAAATTGTTTTTAATTTCATTTTTTAATTAAAAATTTAAAATGAAATAAAAATTAAAACAAAGACAGGCTCTATCTTTCCAAAATATTTTATCCAGTCCTACAACTCACACTCTAAGTTCCTTTGTTTTTTATTCTTGGTAAAGTCTGTATTTCCTAATGTTAGCCTGTTGCTCAGCTAGAAAAGTTCTCGACACACTCTGTGTGATATTTGGTTATCATTTCTCCTGATTTAACTCAGTCCCCAATCTGCCTTTGCTTTGATACCTGCTCAGACTTCATTCATCCAATAATGCCCATCCCCTACCTTCTTCTCACCATTCTATCTTTTTTAACATTCCTCTTTGTGTATGAAATAAGTTAAATCAATAAGTGACTTTATATTAAAGACTAAATAAGTTACTAGGATCAACTTATCAGTTGTTATATATAATTTTCTTTTATGAATTTCTAATTCCTATTTACTATGAAATGATTGGCTCATATATGTTACTTATTGATATCCAAATATACTTTATTGCCATCTAATGAGTTAATAGCGCAACAGCACAAACCTGGGTGCCCTTTGATAACATCATACAACAAGGAAGGCAAAAAAGCAATATACTAATTAAAGGGCTATATGATAGTCTCATCTGAAGATGAGAAGACAGAGGAAAAGGACCTCTTCAAGAATGAATTTCGATGCTTTCATGCAGAATTTTAATATTTCAAGGATTTCCAAGTACTGACATTTTCCCCCCCAAAACAGTGTTTCGTATGTTTATTTTTATTTGTTTCTTGTATTTT